GTGCTCAACCTCACTTGGTCTTTTATCACCTTGTCCTGCAAACACACATACACACAAACCATTCACAGGAGGAGAATGTGTGTGTACGATGCATGTTTGCGACTCAGCTGAGCTTTTCCTTCAGTCCGACAAGCACTTCCCTTTGACAAAGCCCCAAGCTTCATTTCCCCGTCCTCACACAAGGATAAGCATTTCCAGCTGGTTTCACAAACATTAGAAATGAGATTCAATAGGTGCCACAGATTGTGTCGTTCTCTCAGTTTCTCTCCTTCCTTCCGTCTCTCCCTCCCTCTTTTTTCTTCTCACAGTGACTCGCCTTGTCTCATGAGACAGGGTAGCTAGGGAAACTAGGCCACAGATTGGCCTGCTGAGACAGAACAGTGCAAAACATAGCCCAGCTCTGAGAAACTCCTGTTACACTTTAATTGTCTGTATAGTATCCTGGCTGCTACACAGCAAGCCTACTTGTAAAGCTGGACTGGTTTGGGAAACTCGTATTACACTGAACTACTCTGTGGAAACAATGGACAAGAGTCCAAGTAGCATTAAAAACCTGTAGGAAACAGTATATATTAACAGACCATTAATTCACTGATTCTAAAAACTACAAAAACCTGTATATTATCACATCAGCCTGTTAAACACAGCTGGTTGTTTTCAGTGTGTGCATTTTTAAGAATAGTTTTTGCATTTTGGGAAGTACACTTATTCACTTTCTTCAAGAGATGAGAAAACTGATAGAGGCTAATTGCTATTAGCTTAGTTGAAGTTTTTATGCTAATTAGCATAAAACTGAAGGCAGGTGGAAACAGCTAACCTGGCTCTGACTAAATGATAAGTTGTAAAAGCACAACTTTTCTGTTAACTGAAAAGATTCAACCTGTTACTTAGTGAGCTTCAGATGTGCTGATAGGTGCTTGTTTATTTGTTTTTTTTTTTTTTTTTATGCAAGCAGGCTAGCTGTTATCTGAAACAGGACACTGACACATGAGCTGGGAGGTCACCATCACCTCAGGGAGTCGGTTTATCTAAATTGTAAAAAAATATATTTAGTCACATACATAGATGCTTTTGGTTTCATTTGTACAGATTTTGAAATAGCTGTCTTGTAAATTTTTGCCAACACACTACTGCAATGGAGGAGAATGAAATTTTGTTTGTAACAATTTACACTGTGGTGAAAGAAGTACTCAGATCATTGATTAAAGCAGCAATACCACAGTATAAATACTCTGTTACAAGTAAAGGTCCTGTGTTCAAAATGTTACTTACAGTAAGTATAAATACAAAAGTGTTAGCATCAACATATCCTTGAAGTAGCTACCAAAAGTAAAAGCATTCATTAAGCAGAGTAGCTATTATGTTATTGGATTATAATTGATGTATCACTGTGTACATCATTTTAATGTTGCAGCTGCTAAAGGTGTTGTGTGAATTATCCAGAGTAAACAGATATGCATTACATTATTAATCAATACATTCATTTGGGTGAAGCTTTTATCCAAAGGAAATTAAAGTACCTGCATTTTATCTCTGTAGGAACAAGAGAAAAATGCCATCAAAGACTGCTGCTGCTGCTGTTAAGCTCTTTTATTGTAGTTTCTAATGTTTAGCGCACTGCTAACAAAGTTCCATTTAGCCCAGTTTTACAGAGTTAGACAGAAAACCTCAGAGACAGATGACACATTATACCAAAACATGAACAAACTGTTTTTTGTTCGGGTGTTTGAATGTACCTTTCATATAACTCTTTCATATGAAAAGGCCATTTGGTCATCCCTGGTATCTACCTGTGTTTCCATTTATAAGGTTATGAAGTTGTGATACATAGGATGATATTTTAAAACCTTAGTCATGTTCAAAGAGACTAACCATAAAAGTAGAGTATAGGATAGATCAAAAGTTCCAACTCTGAACTGTAGAACAATGGCTTCAACTGCTGTACTATGCATTTTGGCCTCAGTGAGTCTTCTTGAACAAATAAAGCTTAACTAACTGACCCTTTGAGCACTGAAGAAACAAAAGAAAGCACAAAGGTTTTCTTCTGAATGCTTTTAGGTTGCCTACAAAACTGGATCACCAACCAGCATAGTGGGCAACTTCCACAGGGCTGAAGCCATCTGGGGCACATCATTACCTAATACTGAAGCCATGGCAACATCTATTTTTAAGACCATTATTATTTGTGTGTATATAGTTTTTATATGGTGTGTAAATAAGTTTGTGTTTAATCAAACAAACACAAACCAAGTGGCACACAGCAAACCTAGGGGAAGGTAGTAATCCAGTGTGAGAGCATTGGCTGGTTTGAAGAGCTCCAGGCAAACTATAATTAAACTAGCATGTGAAGTCTACTGTGTGCGCTGTATTTGATGGGTACTTGAAGGCACAATGCATGTGGAGTGGCAGGAACAGCATTTTGGGGTTTGTCAGTAGGGGCCCATGGCTCATTTTTGCCTTGGGGCCCTTTACACTCAGTAAGTGTCAATAGGGTCAGCCCATGTTAAAAATGCACTCATAGTACAAAGATATAAAACAGTGTCTAGGATGTTATGATGTAGCTAAGTCAAATACACAGAAAAAGATTTACATGTGTAAAATTAAAAACACATTTCGGTGTCTGGTAAAACAGAGTATGTGTGATAAAGGGACACATTTGGTGAGGGTCATGTGAATTCCTCCTTTCAAAGGAGAATAACTGTACTAATTGTGTCCGATATCATTAGGCCAAAGGCACTGCAGGACTGTAATTTCATATGAGCAAGATCATGTTCTTTGCATGGGGGCCATTCATTATGACTTGTTTATGAGCTGAGAATAGCATCAGAACTCAGACCATAAAGTGCAGAGCCCCAGCACAGACTCTCACTTAAAACAAGTGTGCTATTGATGAATAAGGCCTAAGGAGGCAAGAATCAGGAAGGTAATCACTGAAGCCTGTTGTGAGGTGTGTTGTTCAAAATCTGGAGAATTGTGACTTTCATTCTTACAAAATTACTGAAAATCCATGATGAAAATAAAAAAAATGTACATGTGAGGTACATTTGTGAGGTACACTGTCAGGTAAAGTTTGACACCTTTAAAGGATCCAGAACAACAGAATGGACATTATGGTGAAATGATGTTTATCACCTGCTGTTTCCAAGGTCAAGAATGAACTTAATCTCATCTTTTAAGACAGCATGAATGGGTCTTTAAAGTGCTGATAGAAATGAGCATCTACAATTTCATGATAATTAGGCAGACTCTGTCTACTGATGATTATAGAATCAAAAGCTCCAGTAGTATAATGAAATCAACCTTGTGGTAAGATTTTATCAACTGTCACTTTTGAGGGTCCAGACATCTCAAGCATGATTTTAGACATGAAACATGGAGTAATGATTTTACTTGCGAGTTAAAATCACATAACATAGCCTATATATATAATTTTTGGAAACAGTCTATTTCAGACGTTTTGAGACATGTGGACAGGTATTGCTGACACTGAATGTCTGACAAATCATCACTGGATTAAGATGTGAAAAGCTGGATTTATGACAATTTATGTTCTGTCATTATCTGAGTATGTGAAAACAGCTATAGGTTTAGGATATGCCGTCATTTTACTCCTGAATAAATGAAAAGAGCACATATGAAGAATTATTTTGAGGCTGGAATGAATGATAAAGTTTTACTTTTCCCTTACAAGTTATCTGCCACTGCATGAACATGATCATTAGGTGAGAATATAAGTCCTCATTTATTTGCTCAGTACCTCTACCACTGCACCTCATAGAAACACAAAAACCTTGACTTCAAATGTGGTTGGTTTTTAATATTTGAAGAACCAATAGCATGTGAGGAAGTCATAATAATCTTGATATGCCCAAGATAATAACCTGCATTGTCAGGTTACACTGCTGATGGAGTCCTGGCTGGTCATCTGGCAAAACACATTTATGACAATTCACTTATGATGATGGACTATGTCCGCTGAAATACAGTACTATGTATAGTACTAGTATGGTTTGGGTTTTTTCTCTTTTTTTATCTATAACCAAGTGTCATGCCGAACATAACACTGATCTTAGCTTAGCTGTGGTCTTCATGTCCGCTAGGCTGCGTTCAGCGATCTAAATGCAGCGTTTAGGTGTCCTGCTGTGGCTGTGAACAGGCCAGAGGTGCACATCTGAATGGGACAAGGTGGGAATAAGGTGACATGGGAGAGGATGCGGAAGGCAGGCAACTCACGTAGTGTTTAGACGGATTGCGCCTCTTCTCCACGTCCACGACTTTCACGTCCAGAACAGTCCGAAACTGCATCTTGACCCCGTAAAGGCTATGCATAAAAGCGACAGGCAGGCAGCTGCGGCGGCTTCAGATAAACTATAGTGTATCACGGGGGAGAAATCCCGACATTCATCTTTGTGCCATGAAACAGCTCAGCGGTACAATAATAGATCGGGTCGCTTGCGGCCAATTTGATAGCTCAGACGTCCCTCCGTTGACGCAACAACCATCAGTCTGATTAACAACTTATCGATAGTCCAATTAAGGCCGTGCTGATCACTCTCAGAGACACGCACACTGCCGGAGATCCAAGCGAAGACAGATCTGATGAAGGCGGTCACCTTAAAATAGAAAAAGTGTCTGTCGCGACGCCTACAAAGGGAGCATCTGCATACCTGAAGGTTACAGGGGCTGGATGTGTGCAATGGCACCGGCAAATCCAGCGCCAAACGCCTCTTGCGTTACAGCAGGCGCAGTCAGTTTAGGGAACGGAGTGGGATGGGCTTCACGCACGTCCTCGGGGCTACTTGGAATAAAGCACCGGAGAAACAAAAGGATTTGGCGTTGCCCCCGTTGACAAGGATCGTATATCTTGACATAATTATGCAGCTGCTTTGTAAACCAGCTGACATACAGGGTAGACTAGTCTTCATTCGCTCAATCAATTCACCCATTCATCCACCTCCGGGGCCCCATTAACTTTTCCTCCGCGCTACATGCAGTATAAAGAGATGGCTGGCATTTTTAAAACAAAGTGTAGGTCCTAAGTTAAAAGCACTGATTTCTGGAGAAGGACAGCGGTTGGCCTCGTGGTGATGAAGCTATCCTCAGTTTGTTAACAGTCTGTGAGTCATGAGCAGCTTTCTGGAACTATGGATACAGATGTTTCACAGGCGACCAATCAGCAGCCGCCTCCTCTCTGAAAGCACCAACTAACAACAAAACACTGCCCCCCTGTGCGCACGGCAACAGACGCAGGATGGTGACCTGTAAAGAAGCCCTTTGGAGTAGACTTTTTCCTTTTGTCCTTTATTTAATTTATAAAATGAAGCATCTGAGATGTATAAAGTCCATCCTTTTCACTTTCCAGAGCAGCACTAAGACCAGCTCACTATCATCCTTTAAACCACTAAAGAAAGGCCACTTGTATTTTAATGAATATACTATAACCATGAACCAAAAAGGGAGGAATCCCAAACATACAACTGCTTCAGGGCCACAGAACTTCAGGGGGTCTGAAAGCTCCAGGCTTACTGTGTCAACTGTTTTGTGGTAATGTAATGGAACACACATTAAAATGCAAGGCTGGATTAGCAGCTGGGAAAAGAAGGCAACTGCCCCAGGAGCACCAGACCATCAGGGGCCCCAAAGACCCTGGGTCCACTGGCTGACAAATTATTCATGGTAATTTAATTAAGTGAGGAATATAAAATATAAGGGAAAAGCATTCATTTCAAGTTACAGTCATGGTCTGCATTTCTGTCAGATAACACAACACTTCTCCCAGAAAACTGTTGCAAGCACAAATTATTTGGTGTTCTCATGTTTATTTCTTTTGTTTGCATTAGAACAACATAAGCAGAGGGAAAAGGCCCAATCTGATATAGTCCAGATCTAAACCCCATAGGGAACCTGTGGGGAGATCAGAGAAGAGCAGCTGGGAGAAGGAACCCTTCAGATCTGAGAGACCTGGAGCAGTTGGCAAATGAAGAGTGGTTCAAAACTCCAGTAGAGATGTATAAGAAATTCACTGATGGTTACAGGAAAACAAAAAGTTATTTTGTCCAGAGGGTGTGCTACCAAATATTGAGGGTGTTATTATTTCTGTCCAGTCCATTTTTTTGGAGTTCTGTGTGGAAGGTAATAGATTTTCCTTTTTCCTCCGTTTTTTATTGTTCCAATGCAAACAGAAGAAATAAACATGAGAATACAAAAGAATTTATGATTGTAACAATTTTCTGGAAGAAGTGATGCCTTATCTGACAGAAGTGCAGGACGGCCAGTATTTTTGACCATGACTACATCAACACATTTCATCAACTGTATATCAAAGTTCAATTTCCTCATCATGCAAAATGCTTCTCAGCCTGTGAGACCACCTGTTCATGTTTTAAGGGCTCTGCATGGAGTTTTCTAAAGTCTGTGAATAACCCCTGATGGTGTCTTGAGGGCCTGTCTTCTGGAAGGCCCGAGTAAAAATGTAATACTTTTAATATATCAATAGACAGTATGCATAAAAGGTGCATATGACATAAATTTACATTTAATCATTTTATAACCCCACTAAATTTGAGAACTTGGTTGGCTCAATGACTTCTTCCAGCTCACTAAATGCCCCCAAGGTTCCACAAATGGGTTAATCCAACCCTGACAATATTATTTGACCTAATGGCCTTAAATAATGGGTCATTGTTTTTATTATCTGATACTGAGGCCCTGTGTTCATTCATTTTATCAAACTCAAGAGCTTCATCTAGTGTTCTATTCTGTTTTGGCAGGACGATCTTAAATCAGGCTTCTGCATGTGTAGGCTACATATACAGTATAGATTATATTGTTTGTAATGTGTAATGTACTATTGTAATGCACCAGTATGTATACACAGCATGTAGTGTACAAATATTACTTACTTATATCATGAGATACATGTCACAAATGGTATGAATTAAGTATGTTATCTGTGTTCTACATGAAGCATATTTGCTATTATGTACTTATTTTAATACAATATGCACATGTGGAAATGACGTTGGCCCATACTACTGCTTGAAACTGACGATGGTGGCAATAAAAATAGCATTTAATAAACAGTATATACAGTAGACAGGGGCTAGAGGCGAACACAGTGTCAAACTTTATGTGTCATGTATATTGCTCATGGGGTACCAGCAGTCCATCTTTACCCTCGGGCCTGTTACAGAGTTAATATGGCCATACATGAGCCCTATCTGTTTTGCCTGGTAACTTATTTTTTAATACACACTGTGGTCTGGCAATACTATGGCTGATGACTGGCAACATACTGTATAATTTTGCCAGTTTAATAAGTGATTTGCAAAAACATTCAAAATCTGATAAATATTTTCCACACCGTGCACTGAAAGCTTTCCTGAGGTTTATACTTTACTTAGTATTCAAGCTTAGGACACTTACATATAGTAACATTAAGAAATACAACAGGAATTACGCAAAAGCTCATGATGAACACAAACATACAAACGGCATGATTTACTCCATTGTATTGGTCGCTCACATTTCATAGCAGCAGGCCATACCACTAACAGTACATACAGTAAAAGAGGGTTCCCAGCCCCACTGTTCGGTTATTAAAACACAGTGTAATGGTTGTCACTGGTGCTGACGATGTCACTGTTGCACTCCAGTGATTTGAGTACCAGCTCCAGGGCTGCTTTGCTCACATTGAGGCTGTATCGCTGCCTGACTGCAGACAGGATGTGCAGGATGTGGCAGCCCTTCTCTGCGTCTACACGTACAGGAGGAAACAACCGTCAGCACACAGTCACAGTAAACCAAGGTTACTGTGAAACAAGCAATCCATTTTGGAAGGGGAATCACAAATAGGCATTAGGTGTACAGTGAAAATTGAGCTCCAAAATGTAAAGATGATTAGTAAGAAAATACTATAGGTGCAATTACTGAACTAATTTGGTCTTTGACAGGAAGGTAAAAAGCTTTCATTCTTGATTATTTTAACTGAATAGTGATTACTACTACACAACCCAGTGCCACATAGTAGACCCTCACTGAGTCAAACCTAAAGCTACAGTAGGGAAACATGCATCAAAAGTCTGATACTTAGAGCTAAAATTAAGTGTACTTACACTTCTCTCTTTTGGAGTCTTCCTTGATAATATCTTTTACAGCTATGAGTAGATCTTTATCCTGTGCAGTCACCTAGTGAGGAGCAACAACATCAAACCAAGAGGTGGCTATAATAATTCAACACACTAATAACCTAATGAAGTGGGAAGAATTCATTCAAGAGATCACTGCTGTTTCTTACATGATAGACTTCATCCTGGGACTTGACCTTGCGGTATATGAGCCCCTCATCTTGTAACATCACCAGGACTTTCTTCACAAGCTGGCGTAGCTGCTGAGAGGCAGATGGACCTGCCACAGGCTCCTAACCCGCCAAACAGG